AAGATTTAGTAGATTTTGAATAAATTCTCTGAATAGGATCTTAAACAAAATTTACAATAGTCTTGATTTAAAAAACCACACATTTAATGAATTTCTAGGCTTGAAATTAGTAAGAAAATCTCCCCAAATACCTCAACAATACAAAATCCTGGGCTGACACTCAATATAGATCTAGCGCTATGAGTTGATATGAAAGGCAAGGCTGCTGGAGATGAGTCCATACAAGCACTGCAACATGGAGAGTCAGCCGTGAGTCAGCTGCAGAAAAGATACAGCCGTTTCCAGACAAATGCTGAGAGAATTTGCCACTACCAAGCCAGCACTACAAGAACTGGTAACAGGACCCCTAAATATTGAAACAAATTCTTGAAATACACCAAAGTAGAACCTCCTTAAAGGATAAATCTCACAGGACCTATATAGTAATAACACAAGTTATTCAGGCAACAAATAGCATGATGAATAGAATAGTACCTAACATCTCAACACTGAGTGTCAATGGCCTAAACACTACACTTAAAAGATACAGAATGGCAGAATGAATAAGAATTTACCCACCAAGTTTCTGCGGTCTTCAGGAGACTTGCCTAAGACAAAAAAAGCCACGTAAACTTAAGGTAAATGGGTGGAAAAAGATATTCCATGCAAATGGACACCTAAAGTGAGTAGGAGTGCTATTATTTTATTGGATATAACAAACTTTAAAGCAACAGCAGTTAAAAAAGACAAGGAGAAACATCATATAATGATAAAAGGACAAGTCCAACAAGAAAATATCACAATTCTAATATATATATGCACCTAACACCGGAGCTCCCAAATTTATAAAACAATTACTATTAGAACTAAGATATGAGATACACAGCAACAGAATAATAGTGGGAGGCTTTGATACTCCACTGACAGCACCAGACAGGTCATCAAGACAGAGCGTCAACAAAGAATGGACTTAAACTATACCTTACAACAAGTGGACTCAACAGATATTTACAGAACATTTTACCCAATTGCAGAATATACATTCTTTTCATCAGCACATGGAACATTCTCCAAGATAGACCATATGATAGGCCACAAAAGAAGTATCAGTAAATTTAAGAAAACTGAAACTATGTCAAATACTCTCTGAGCCCACAATGGAATCAAATTGGAAATGAACTCCAAAACGAACCCTAAAAACCATGGAAATACATGGATATTAAATAACCTGCTCCTGAATGATCACTGGGTCAACAATGAAATCAAGATGGAATTTAAAAAATTATTTGAACAATAACGATACAACCTATCAAAACCATTGGGATATAGCGAAAGTGGTGCTAAGAAGAAAGCTTATTGCATTAAATTCCTACATCAAAAAGTTGGAAAAACATCAGTTGACAATCTAAGGTCACACCTCATGGAACTGGAAAAACAAGAACAATCGAAACCCAAATGAAGCGGCAGTAAAGAAATAATGAAGATCAGAGCAGAACTAAATCAAATTGAAACAAACAAAAAACAAAACAAAAGATAAATGAAACAAAAAGATGATTCTTTGACAAGATAAATTTGATAGACCATTAGTGAGATCAACAAAAGAAGATTCAAATAAGCTCAATTATAAACAAAATGGGAGATATTACAGCTGATATTATGGAAATACAAAAGATGATTCAAGTCTACTACAAACATCTTTATGCACATAAATAGAAAACCTAGAGGAGATGGGTAAATTTGGGAAAATATACAACCATCCTTGATTAAACCAGGAAGATATAGAATCTCTGAACAGACCAATAAGAACCAGTGAGATTGAAATGGTAGTGAAACAATTGCCAGCAAAAAAGTCCAGGATCAGACGGATTCACAGCTGAATTGTATCAGTCCTCTAAAGAAGCATTGTGCCAATTCTATTGACACAATTCCCAAAGATAGAAAAAGAGGCAATCCTCCCTCATTAGTTCTATAAAGCCAGTAGCACCCTAATACCAAAGCCAGAGAAAGACATAATAAAAATAGAAAACTACAGACCAATATCCCTGATGCACATAGATGCAAAAATCCTCAACAAAGTGTTAGTGAACTGAATTCAATAGCATATCAAAAAGATAACCCACCATGATCAAGTGGGTTTCATACGAGGGATGGTTTAACATCTGCAAGTCAATAAATGTGATACACTGCATAAACAGAATTAAAAACAATAATCACATGATCATCTCAATAGATGCTGAAAAAACATTTGACAAAATCCAGCATCCATCTATGTTAAAACCCTCAGCAAAATCGGTATAGAAGGGATATATCTTAAGGTAATAAAATCCATGTAAGACAAACCCAGAGCCAACATACTGAATGGGGAAAAGTTCACAGAATTTACCCTGATAATTGGAGAAGGCAAGGATGCTCACTTTCACAACTTCTATTCAACACAGTACTGGAGGTCCTAAACAGAGGATTAAAAAGAGAAAGAAATAAAGAGCATCCAAATCAGTAAACAGAAAGTCAAATAGTTGCTGTTTGCTGATGATATGATCATAGACCTAGAAAACCCTGAAGACTCCTCCAAAAAGCTGCTAGAACTGGTAAATAAATTCAGCAGAGTTTCAGGATATAAAATTAATGTTCACAAATCAGTAGCTCTGCTGTACACCAATAGTGACCAAACTGAGAATCAAATTAAAACTTAACCCCTTTCTCAATAGCTGCAAAAAATAAAATAAAACAGAATACTTAGGAATATAATCAAGGATGTGAAAAACCTTACAAGAAAAACTATAAAACACTGCTGAAAGAAGTCATAGACAACACAAACAAATGGAAACACATTTCATGATCATGGAAGGGTAGATTCGATATTGAGAAAATGATCATGCTGCCAAAAGCAGTCTACAAATTTAATAAAATTTCCATCAAAATACCACCATCATTCTTTAAAAAATCCTAAAATGTATATGGAATCATAAAATAGCCCACGTAGCCAAAGCAAGATGAAGCAAAAAGAACAAATCTGGAGACATCACATTACCCAATGTCAAATTATATTATAAGGTCATGGTCACCAAAACAGCTTAATATTGGTATAAAAATCAGTATATAGACCAATGGAACAGAATAGATAATGCAGAATTAAAGCCAGATACTTATAGCCAACTGATCTTCCACAAAACAAACAAAAACATAGAGTGGGAAAAGGACACCCTGTTCAACAAATGGTGCTGGGATAATCGGCAAGCCACATATAGAAGAATGAAACTGGGTTCTCAACTCTAACCTTATACAAAAATCCACTCAAAATGAATAAAAGACTTAACTCTAAGACCTGAAACCATGAAGATTCTAGAAGATAATATCAGAAAAACCCTTTCAGACGTTGGCTTAGGCAAAAACTTTATTATGAAGAATCCAAAAGCAAATGGAACACAAAGATAAATATCTGGGACTTAATTAAGCTAAAAAGCTTCTGCACAGCAAAAGAAATTATCAGCAGAGTTGACAGAAAGCCCGCAGAATGGGAGACAATCTTCGCAATCTATGTATCAAAAAAGGACTAATATCCAGAATCTACAAAGAACTCAAACAAATCAGAAAAAAAAAAAAAATCCCCTGAAGACATTGGACGCAAAAAGACAATTCTCAAAAGAAGATATACAAATCGCCAACAAGCATATGGAAAAATATTCATCATCACTAATTATCAAGGAAATAAAAATCAAAACCACAATGTGATATCACATCACTCCTGCAAGAATGGCTGTAATAAAAAATTTTTTTTAAATAGATGATGCGGATGTGATGATAAAGGAACACTTTTACATTGTTAGTGGGAATGTCAACTAGTACAACCACTATGGAAAACAGTGTGGAGAATCCTTAAAGTAATAAAAGATCTACCAGGTGATTCAGCTATCCTACTACTAGGTAATACCCAAAGGAAAATAAGTCACTATATGAAAAAGATACTTGCACATACACATTTATAGCGGCACAATTTGCATTTGCAAAATATGGAACCAGTCCAAATGCTCATCAATTGAGTGGATAAAGAAAATGTGATACATGCATATACACACACACCATGGAATACTAGTCATCCATAAAAAGAAATGAATTAACATCATTCACAGCAACGTGGATGGAATTGGAGACTATTATTCTAAGTGAAGTAACTCAGGGCTGGAAAACCAAACATTGCATGTTTTGCTCATGTGAGAGCTAAGCTAGGAGAATGCAAAGGTGAAAGAATGATATGTTGGACTTTGGGGACTTAGGGAGAAAGGCTGCAGGGTGGCATGGGATAAAAGAGTACACGTTGGGTACAGTGTACACTGCTTGGGTGATGGGTACACCAAAATCTCAGAAATAACCACTGAAGAACTTATTCATGTAACCAAACACCAACTGTACTCCAAAAACCTATTGAAATAAAAATAATAAATTTTTTTTAAAAGGGAAAGCTAAAGTGAGACACCCACAGCAAGCCATTGTCCTGGAAGAGAGCCAGAGTGTTCCCAAATTGGCAGTATCCTTTTGGTTCCTGACAGAAGTAAATGCAAGTCCTTTCCTCAGGAAAGCATTTCTAATTTGCCTTGAGAATTTCTGCTGAGGATTTAAACAAACATACAAACATATATAAATAAAAGAAGCTCATTTTGGAACATCAGAAAACTTACAAAAAGGTCAGTGGTTGCCAGGAATTAGTGAGGAGGGAGGATTAAGTAGGCAAAACAGAGGATTTGGGGGCAGTCAGAATACTCCCTATGATGCTATTTAATAATATGTAATTAAACATTTGTCTAAACCTATAGAATTTACAATGCTGAGCTTGAACCCTAATGTAAACTATGAACTTTGGATGATAATCGTGTGTGAACGTAGGTTCATCAGTTGTAACAAAGGTACCATTCTGGAGGATCCCCCAGATAATGTTGATGATGAGGGAGGCTATGCATTTGTACAGGGCAGAGGGAGTATAGGAATTCTCTGTACTTCTGCTCAATTTGCTGTGAACCTAAAACTGCTCTAAAAAATAAAGTTTATTTTAAAAATCAGTAAACACACAGTAAGGAAATAGTAATTATACCCTTAAAGCTTTCATATGCTGAAATTAACACATAATAGAAAAAATAATGTCTACATAGAAGCTGAGCATAGTGGCACATGCCTGAAGTGCGAACCACTCAGGAGGCTGAGGTAGGAGGATCCCTTGAGCCCAGTATTTTGAGACCAACCTGGGCAACAAAGCAAGACCCTATCTCTACAATGTATTAATTAATAAAGATTTTAAAGTATAAGATGGAGTCACAAAAATGAACAACAAAATGGCAATAGATTAAAAAAAAGGTAGATTTGAAGTAGAATGATTTCAAACTTTTAGAAAAGAAAATGCAATTTTTATAGCAGCCATTTAATAACTGAAAAAATTCTTAAAATAAGATCAGCTGCAAATTAGACAGCTGAAAAGAAAATCAAGAGTTGCAATGTGTTGGGACATAACAAAAGGGCAGTTAAGAACCAGAAGGACTAACATCATCATCATCATCATCATCATCATCATCCTGGAGGAGATAGCAGAGACAACGGAGGAGGAAGGAGAGTAGAATATTTGAAGAAATAATCATTAATACTTTTCCAGATGTTAACAAAAGATAATGTCACAGATACAGTATGCAAAATATTCAAGATGATGAATACAAAAGAATTCATTCATGGATACCTAGTAGTAAAACTTTAAGACCAAAAAGAAAAAAAAAAATCTTAGAATTGTCAAGAAAGAATAAAGAGATGATCAGAAAGGAGTTGCAAGTACATTTACAGAGTACTTCTCAATAGCAGCAATGAAAGCCATGTGGAAAGGGAACAGTCTCTCCACAGACCTTAAAGAAAAGTATCAATATAAAATTACATATAAAGTAAAATCATGTTTAAGAAAAATGCAAAAACACAAACATAAAGGATTTACTGTCAACTTAGTTACAGAAATTTCTCAATGACATATTTCAAGAACAAAATGGGTGAGAAAAGTATCAGATGGAAGAGGGCATTCTAAGCAAATAAATGTTAAATTTGCTGTGAAATTTAAATATTTGTTGTAACATAATAACTAGATCTCTATCTTGTTCAATTAAAAATGAAATTTAAAAATCTGGAAATGGTACAGTCTAAAGCAGAAAATTCCATTAGATTACATTAAAGTCCTTAGAGGTAAAGATTTTTGATTAAAACAACCACCTTACAATTCCTAGGGAAATTACTAAGAACGTAGAAATAGATTGCAGAACTTCCTACCTAATACAAGGGGAAAATGTAATGAGGAAAAGAAATGTGAATGAGTAAACCAAAATTTAAGTGGGGAAAAATAGAAAGTAATTACAATGATTTTTTTTAAAAGAAAGTATTTAAAGATTAAGACTGTCAGTTTAGTCTCAAATGCATTATATTTTGTTTATAATACACAGATTTGCAAAATAGGCAGGCTGAAAACAGTGTGTGAAATACAAAAGCCAGGTTAATATTAACACAATAACTACTGGTGTAGCAATTAGACAAAAAGACTTTATAGCTAAAACAGCAAGATGAAAGAGTATTAGTATATATCAATGAAAGCTTTAATTCATTGAGAAGCTATAACAACTCTAAACTCGTATGTGTCTAATAAGATAGGTCCAAATTATATAAAAAAGTGACAAATGTGCAAAAATAATTTGAAAAATTCACTATCAGAGCATATAATTTAATGCAACTCTCTTCCTAGTCAATATATTAAACTCAAAAGAAGAAAGATTTAAATATTGGAAACATATTTCTTAAAACACAGAGTACTTTAGCAAAACTGATTTCAGAAGAGTCCATAAAGAGTCTCAGAAAATTTCAAAGCTGACATTCCTATATTACAGCAAAATTTAATTATAAATCAGTAAAAATACATTTTGAAATTTAAACATACAATTCTTAGTAAGTCAAAAACAAAGAAGAAATCACAATGGAAATTACTCCTAATTATTTAGACCATCAAAATAATGAGACACTACAAATGACTCTCTGCCTTGCCTGTCTCTCTCTCTCTCTGCATATATATGTAGATATATATACATATATATAGATACACTCTGTCTCTATATATACATACACACATACTTACATAGAACTGACATTTCAGATCATAGGTGAAAGGATGATAATTGTACTAAATGAGAATTCAGTAAAAGGAGCTTAAATGCTGCCATTGCTGGTTTTTTTTTTTTTTTTTTTTTTGAAACAGGCTCTCCCTCTGTTGTCTAGGCTGGAGTGCAGTCGCACCATCTCAGCTCACTGCAACCTCTGCCACCTGAGCTCAGGAGATCTTCCCCGCTCAGCCTCCCAAGTAGCTGGGATAAAAGGCACATGCCACCACTCCCAGCTAATGTTTTGTACTTTTGGTAGAGATGGGGTTTCACCATGTTGCCCATGTGCCGAGATCAACATTGAAGGTTGATCTTCAACTCCTGAGCTCAAGCAGTCAGCCCTCCTTAGCCTCCCAAAGTGTTGTGGTTACAGACATGAACCACTGTGCCTGGCAGCCTCTTGTTATTCTTGTTTATCTTTCTTGAAAAAATAAATCAACAAAAAGGAAATTGGATCCTTGCATCGTACCACAGAAAAATATTCAAAATATTAAGTATATCTATATGGAAATCAGTACAAGAGAATATATGAAAGGATCTTCATGACATTAAGATAGGAAGTAGATTTCTTAAAAGGTATAAAAAAGGCCAATCCATAAAGGAAAAGGTTGGTGCTGTATATAGACTAAATAAAATGTGTACATTTTAGTTAAGCTGTTAACTAATCGAAAGGCACGATGAAGAGAATAAAAGAGAAGCCACCACTTAGAAGACACTCTTGATAGTAATCAACAAGAGATTAGTATCTACAACATATAAAGATTTCCCAACAACCAACAGGAAAATAAATTTTTAAAAAACTAAAAGTATATTGGCCAAAAGACACAAATAGGAAACTTGAAGAACTATGAATGATAAATAATTTTAGGAATGCCATGCAAATATAATTTTTTAGAAATCAGAAATGCAAATAAAAACTGCAATCTATCAGCATTACACACCCACCTGTTTTGAAAACCTTAATTTGGACACTATAAACTCTTGATAAGGACATGAATAAATTAGGGTTCTCATACATTGCTAGTGGGGATGTAAATTTATACAACCACTCTGTCAGGTATATAGTCAATGTTATTTATATTTGTGTTTGTATTACTGTTATTTATTAAGTTATGTAAGTGTATATCATTCACTCTTTTTTCTATGGGATATTTTACATTGTGAGCTAAGATATTGAAGGATAAGCAAGAGTTAGTTAAATGAAAGTTGGAGCCACACTTGTAAACAAATATTTGCAATAAATAAAACCGACAATTATTGAAATTTATTATAAACGAGAATATTTTTATATAGCTCATACTTTACATCACTTAATCTTTTCAACAGCCCAAAGAGGCAGGTAATAGTTTACTTACTTTCCCAGATAAGGTAACGGAAGCAAAGAAAAGCCAAGTAACTTTCCTAGGAACATACCACATTTAGGTGGTAAAACAAGAATGAGAACTCAGGTGATCAGATTCCAGAGTCTACTCTGTTCACCTCCATGGTTTTTGCCTCTCAAAGGAGTGCTCGGTCCCTATGCTACCAAAGTTTTGAGTAGCTGGAGAATGCAGAGTTTGAGTGTGAGCCATAATGCATGCTTAGACAGTTCTTCTCAGTCTCTACCTGGAATATTTCTCTGCATCACAGGTATTTGGTTCTTAGCCAACTAATGTCACAAAAATCTCCGAGTAAGACAGTATTGACTATATAAATATATGAATTCAATATCTAGGATTTTTTTGTGGCTAAAGTGTCTGCTTTTCAGTTTTATGATACCTTGGAAGATAATTAGTAATCATGTGGTTGTCTGGTGATCATGAAATCAGAGCGAAGACCAATAGGTATTATTGAGGGATACTCCATCCATACCATCAATGAATAGGTGAAAAATCTACTGATAGAGAACATCACTCCATTCACTGCAGTACTTTACAACGTATCTGTGTATTGACAGAATTTTAGCTTCAAGGTCAAGCACTCAAAGAACCATTTGCTTATACTCAGGTTAAATTTACATTCCCTGATTGTTCATTCTGTATCTGTAGGACACAGCATAGAGCCTAGCATATAGTAGGTGCTCCATAACTATGAATAAACCCATGCTTTTCCTCTTTTGTCATCCTGTATTTAGAGTTTTGGATTTAATGCAGACTTGTCTCTGCATCTCTTCATCTATTGCTCTTTCTTTCAATAACACATTTTTTTTTCCAGTGGGAACCATATCTTGATGATCAGTTTTAATCTTTTTTAATAACAATAAAAATCCTGTTTTGCTTCCAGGTGCTCTGCCACTATTGCCTTGCATGGAAGTAGACACAGCTGTCTCCAAGTTTCCCAAGCAATGAACTCTCTTTTAAGATTTGGTTATTGTCATTCACCAAATGTCCATTTCTTCAAAGTTGTGCCTTAAAAAGCATCCTACCCATTTGGCAGCCAGAGTCATAGTGCTCCTTAGAGAACTGAAGAGGAAATGGAAAGGACATTCATGGGCCAAGAAAAAAGTTTGATAGAATGGCCTTGGGGAGTTGAGAACACAGGGGAGGAGGTCACTGTGAGGTCTGGCTGAAAGCAGTAGAGCAGAGCCATGCATTCAGAAGAGAAATGGTGTTTAACCAGACAAAAAGACATTTCTGGGAGCTTGGGGGCCCAGTTCTAGGTCGGAGAGACTTTAGAAGCATTGTTAATACAATGATTACTCCCTAGTTGACCTTCACAAATACCTGTCTCATAAATTCACGTTTTAATATGAATTGGAAACTTAGACTTGAAAGAAAGTGCATCACAATCAGGTAGAAACATTTAAAGGCAGGGGGAAGCAGAGCAAAATGACACAGCATTTGACTCAGAGAGAATGCCCAAAATACCAAGAATTGAAAAGTATGTTGTACATTATATAGAATGAAATATAGTTCACTGGTACTTGCAGCTGGTAATGTGCGGTTACTTGACATCACAGGCAACCTGACCGACGCATAATGGGAACTGACTTCACAAGTTCAACCACAGGTCAAGAGTGGAGTTTCATCTTTTGGGTTCCCAAACTTATTCTGAGACAAAAGGGACAGTTGTGTCTAAATTCTACATTGACTCTTTGATCTGAATCAGGCTATTCTCA